GGAAGAGGCTTTAAGAAAAACCAGGATTCTATTTTTTCTAAAAAGAAATAGTTTGCTTTTATTCATTGCAATTTTTACAAAGTTGAGACACATTGGAGTGTAATTTTTTGTCCTCTCCAAGTATCATTAAAATATCTGTACTACATAAAGTGATCTACATATTCAACGCAATCCCTATCAAAATTCCAGTAGTGTTTATCACAGAAATAGGAAAAAACAATCCTAAAATTTTTATGGAACCAAAAAAGACCTTGAATAGCTAATGTCATCTTGATAAAGTAGAACTAAACCAGAGGCATCAAGTTTCCAGATTTTAAACTAACAATATTAATTCTTCTGATACATGAGCATGGAATATCTTTCCACTTATTCATGTCTTCATCAATTACTCTCATCAATATCTTATAGTTTCCTGTGTACAGATCTTTCACCTCCTTGGCTAAATTTATTCCTTAGTATTTTATTCTATTTTTTTATGTTATTGTAAATAGGATTGTTTTCTTAATTTCTCTTTCTGATAGATCATTATTAGTGTATAGAAATGCAACTGATTTTGGTATATTGATTTTTCTATCCAGGAACTTTACTGAATTTGTTTATTAGTTATAACAGATTTTTTGGTGGAGTCTTTAGGTGTTTGTATCTATAATATCATGTCATCTGCAAAAAGAGAAAATTTAATTTCTTCCTTTCCAATTTGGATGCCTTTTATGTCTTTTCTTTCCTTATTGCTCTGGTCTAGACTTTCAGTACTATGTATGTTGAATAAAAGTGGCAAGGATGGGCATCCTTGTCTTGTTCCTCAGCTTAGAGTGAAAGATTTCTCCTTTCACTGAGGAGTATAATGTTAGCTGTGGGCTTGTCATACATGGGCTTTATTTATGTTGAGGTAAGTGACTTTTACATCCAGTTTGCTGAGTTTTATTAAGAAAGGATGTTGAATTTTGTCGATCTTTTTTCTCCATCTGTTGAAATAATCATATAATTTTTATCCTTCATTTCATTAATTTGGTTTATCATATTGATTGATTTGCAGATGTTGAGCTATCCTTGCATCCCTGGAATAAATTCCACTTGGTCATGCTGTATGAACCTTTTAATTGACTGTTGAATTTAGTTTGCTGAAATTTTAATTTTTAATTTTCTTTTCTATTAGTTTCCTTGTCTGGTTTTGCTATCAGAGTAATGATAGTCCTAGAAAATGAGTTTGGAAGTCTTCCCTCTTCTATTTTTTGCAAGAGTTTGAGATGGGTTGGTATTAATTCTCCTTGAAATGTTGATAGAATTCACCAGTGAAACCATCTGGTCCTGGACTTTTCTTTGTTGGGAGTTTTTTGATTACTGCATCACTGTCTTTACTAGTAATTGGTCTATTCAGATTTTCTATTTGCTTATGATTCAGTGTTGGTGAGTTGTATGTTCTAGGAATTTCTCCATTTCTCCTAAGGTGTTCAATTTGTTGGTGTAGAATTGTTCATAGTGGTCTCTTATGATCCTTTGTATTTATGTGATATCTAGTGTAACATATCTTCTTTCATTTATAATATTATTTATTTGTGTCTTTTTTTATCGGTAAGTCTAGCTAAAGATTTATCTATTTTGTCTATCTTTTTTAAAAACCAGCTTTTGTTTGATTGATCCTTTCTATGTCTTTTTAGTCTCTGTCATTTATTTTGGCTCTGATGTTTGTTATTTCATTCCTTTTACTAACTTTGGGCTTAGTTTGTTCTTCTTTGTAGTTCCTTGAGGTGTGAAGTTAGGTTGTTTATTTGAGATCTTTGTTTTCTCTTATTCTAAGCATTTCTCTCTGTAAGCTTCCATTTAGAACTGCTTTTACCACATCCCTTAACTTTATGTATGCTTCTATTTTTATTTGTCTTAAGACATTTTTTGAATTTTCTTTTGATTTTTTCTTTGGCCCATTGGTTGTTCAGGAGTATGTTGATTATTTTCTACCTATTTGTGAACTTTCCAGTTTTCTTCTTACACATGTTTTCTAGTTTCATACCACTGTGGTCAAAAAAGATGCTCCATATAATTTTAAACTTCTGTGGCGTTCCTGAGTGGAAACTCTATGGGCTATCAAAGCCAGGAGATCTGGGGACATGCTCCTCAGGGAGCACCCACAAAAACTGGGATGCAGATGTGTGTGCAAGCTCCTTCCAGGGATGTACTTGTGACTTGGGGTGGGAAAGAGGGAGAGAGTGGAGGAGGTGTCCACAGGCTTTTCTGGTCTCCAAGGAGGATCTCAGTCAGCCACTAGACGCATGTTAAATTAGCAGCCTGGCCCTCAGGCAGCAGCTTTTAGTGTGTGCATGTAGACTCTATTCAGGGAAAGGCTGAGAGATAGGCTTTTCTGCCTGATATCTGTGCTCTGAGCCCTGGTGTGATAGCTGCAGCTAGTGCTGGCTTCTCTTAATAACTATTTTTTTTGTTTGCTACACTTTTGTGGACCTTGTGGAAACAAGCCCCATTGGCTTTCTGAGCTAGAGCATTTGGAGGCCTGTCCTTTTGTTGAGAGTCTTAAAAGTTGGGACTCTAGATGCGGGGTCCAAAACCCTTCACTTCTCAGGGAGAAGCTGAGAGCCGGAGGTTTCCTCCCGATTATACGTCCCTGTGCTGGGGGTGGGATTTAGTACAAAAGTCTGTCTCAGCTTTTCCTAGCCATTTCAATGTGGATATTTTTTCATCATTCTGATGTGTAGGAGTCACTCAGCTAGTTTCTTGATTTCCTTCAGAGGGAATTGTACAATATGTAGCTGTTCATTTGGTGTGTCCTGGGGAAAGAGGAATTCAGGAGCTTCCTATGTCACCATCTTTAAAAACCTCCCCTTGACCCCAAAAATACTTTCTTTGGACAATAATTTTTTTCATCAGTCACTGGGGATGTGTGAGAAGGATGTGATGAAGAGAGACTAAGAAGGGAAGGGAATGATGAGAATTGAAGTAGACAGGCTAGAAAACATCAAGTCCTTTGATGTGGTGTTCCCTATTTATGTAGAATTTCAAAATAAAAGAGTCATTATAGGCCATCTGCCCAAGCTTCTATTTCAGTTATGAATCTCCTAAAAAATATCCCCCATACCAAATTCAGGGAAAGGAAGCCCAGAATTAATTCAGTCAGTCAAGTCTAAGTTAGGAATTTCACGTATAGGGCTTAAAATTCCCTTGACTTTAGTTCAAACGCTCTCATTCCGATAAAACTGTCAATATAGGGATAAATTCAGTCTTTAGATTCTGTAATATATACTTGTTATATGGGAGGGAGATAAGTTAATTAGATGACATATTTACGTCCTCTAAATTAGTAGCAATCCACTGACATCCCATTTTTCTTAGACAATAAATTTCAAACAATGTTTTCTACCATGCTGCTACTCATAAGTAACAATTCCAGGAGAGTATGTGTTAACTGAGGAAATATGGTTCAGGTGAAAACCCTTAAAGCCTTTTGTCAAAAAAAAAGAAATAGCCTCCATAAAGTTTTTTTCTATCATGATACTATGTGACAGGTCACAGTGTCCCACAAATGCTCCTTAGAAAATCAGAGAATCTTCTTGGGCTTTACTTCCATTTTGACATGTTTTCACATAAAGACATTTTGCAATGGCAGCTAGAAAATCTAAGACATGCTGTGGCTTTTAAACTCTATAATTGTAATGCATAATAAACAATGACCTTAAATCTTTTAAGGTCCCTCAAATATATCGCCATACCCATGTTGTCTCAACAGGCTGATTCAGTGCTTTAACCATCAGAAACTATAGCAAAGATAGATGAAATACACAAATATCGAGAACATACACTGACAGAGGCTCTTTACTTCTAGTGTAATTAACATGCATGTGTTTACAGATCCATTACTTTTGTATTCACAACCATTTTATGTACTTTCTTAAAAGTTATAAAATATACATATTCAAGCCACATACCAGATCTCCAGTTAATTTTGTGTTAATGACATCTAATAAGCAGTCAAAATTGTTATCTATTGTTTTATTTTATTATATACTTGTTTGTTTTGTCATTTTATGTCCCAAACACTATGCAACTGCTTTGGATGAGAGGGACAGAAAGCTCGGTCCTTGAGCAAAGATTGCTCACAATTAATATTGGAGGCAATGATTAAATAAACAGGGTGATATTAAAGCAATGCTCAAAGGAAAGTTGTCTGTGAACTATAAAAAGGGACATTTAACCAGAGCTGAGAAAGGGGAGGAATGGAAGAGAAGCTTCCTGGAGAAAGTGATGGAGGAGTTGATAGTTAATAATTACAGCAAAATGATGTAATTTACCAGAGCACTTTACCTTCCTCTTTATAATCTATCTTTGTTGGGCTTCTTTAATGCTGAAAAGTTATAGAAAGGGCCACCTCAAGTCTTATGTAACTGTCAGACCCTCTACCTAGAATCCTTTCCATTCCCCAGTGTGCATTTTTTTCCAGATCTAAGACTATTCAGATATTTTTCTGTATTCAGGGAAGCCTTTCCTCTACTGATTAGATTTTGACAATTTTTTTCTAGAATTTTAACCTCCAATTTTTTACTTTATGAAAGTTTTCAGCCTTATTATAAATTATTTGAATGTTTAGTTAAATACTGTTTATTTATTTTTCTAGATTATAGGATTCATTAATATAGAAACTATTGGATTCATTACAAAGTGCAAAGCTTCTAAATGCACAAAGAGCACATAGTGAACACAATAAATCTTAGTATATTTGAAATAATGCTTCAATTAAAGAATGAAAAAATAAAATATGGCAAAATTAGAGGAGTCAGGAAAGTTTTCTACAAGAAAATACATCATAAATAACTTCAAGAACATAGTGAATAATGATAGGTTTGGGGAGCTGCCTTATTTTCTTATGGCTGTGCTTTAGTACAGATATTCATTTATTTTAAAATGTGAGAAAATTATGTTTCTCATGTATCATATAATTTTATGAGCACGATCATTAAATGTGTGTGAGTGTGTGTGCATACACATAACATAAATATTTAAAACCATCTTTTATTTTTTAATTTTTCTAGGGCCTCTTTCACATCCTTGTTCCGTAGGCTATAAATCAGAGGGTTTAACATGGGAATCACCAGGGTGTAAAACAATGAGGTCATTTTGTCTTGATCTAGCGAGTAGGAAGAACACGGCCTGAAATACATGAAGAGCATAGTTCCCTGGAAAATTGCCACAGCAGTTAAGTGGGAGGCGCAGGTGGAGAAAGCTTTGACCCTGCCCTCAGCAGAGTGGATCTTCAAGACTGATAAGATAATATAACAGTAAGAGATAAGAACCCCGGAAATCGTGCTCAGTTCAATGAAGCCAAAAATGGTGAATAATACTAACTGATTGACTTGTGTATCAGAGCAGGAAAGGAGGAAAAGTGGCGGTAAATCACAGAAGAAATGATTAATCTCATTTGACCCACAGAAACATAAGCGGAATGTTAATGTCGTGTGTATCAAGGCATCTGCCATTCCCCCCAGATAAACCCCAGCCATGAGCAGGGAGCACACTCTGCTGGACATGTTGACTGTGTAGAGCAAGGGGTTGCTAATGGCCTTATACCTGTCAAAGGCCATCACGGCCAACAATACGCACTCAGAATCTGCAAAGGTACAGGAGACGAAGAATTGCAGAGCACAGCCATAGAAGGAGATTGATTTGTTTTTGGCAAATAAATCCACCAGCATCTTGGGCCCAATTGCTGAGGAATAACAAAGGTCACAGAGAGAGAGATGGCTGAGGAAAAAGTACATTGGTGTGTGCAATTGGATATCCATTGTAATTAAAATGATCATTCCAAGATTTCCCAAAAGGTTAATGAGATAAACAACCAGAAACATGGTGAACAGGATCACTTTCATCCCAGGGTTATTGGAAATTCCCAAGAAAATGAATCCATTCAAGGAGGAGCAATTTTCTCTAACCATTCCTCTTTGTTCTCACCTAAATTTATGAGAAAAGGGTTAAAGAAATGATAGATTCATTTTACCTTTTCTGCACATCCACAAAATACTTGAAAGTCAGAACACAATTTCCTTCTGTAATTGTCTTTTAATACTCAGAAAATTACGCAGTCATGTACCCAGTCTTTAAAGAGGCATTGCTATATGTTTGATAAGGGTAAAAAATAAAGAGATAGACATTGGAAAAATTTTATCTGATCTACACATCATTCACGATGTATGTGATTTTCTACAAGTTTTATTTCTCCGGACTTTAACTTTCTTATCCCTGGCAGTAGATTTAGATGGATTGATATCTCATTCTACAATCAGAATAATATGGAAGAGACAGTAATGTTAGTGGGACCAAGCTGTAAGATGCAGGACTAAGCATTTTCTAAGCCTGAAAATAGTCACATGGACACAAAAAAATGATTACCATTGTTATGTTCCTCAAAAAGTATGATTGACTTAAAAGAATTTGTTAGTTCTAGAAACAATGAGTATCATTAAGTAATAATGATGAAAATCATTATGTTGCTGTTCCTCGTCTAAGTTTTCTTTAGTTTTTGTTGAGACATGAAATAAGCATTAAACCTTGTCTCTAGAAATGTTTTATTGATTTGTCATGATACTCATTACCTATTTGTGGAGTTGCCTGGTGCCAAAAGATGAGTCTCTTGACCAGTCAAAGAAAAGTGCTAAAAAGAAATGAAAACAACAGAATGTAACACATACATTTGCATCTCTTTGGTTTTTAAAAGGAATTTTAAATAAAAAAATGTAAACAGGATGAGTGACAATAAATGCTCCTGAGATACATGGGCTTCTCTTCCTGTGTATGTGTATATTTATGTATGTGTCGTGTGTTTGCATGTGTATATGTCTCTGTTGATGTATGAGAATAGGAATGTTGGTCGTTGATTTTTCTTTTTAGAGTTAAGTAAATATGGCATGCCGTTCACATGGAGTGGAGTTTGCTTGTCGCTATTTGTAATGGGGTAACTAAATTATTTCTGAAATGAAACAAAAAAAGTTAAATTCGTGTACATACTTCCCCAGCGATAAAATGTTCTCCTGTGAACCTAGTTTAAATTAAAATCATTAAAATGCTATTTTGTGGATGCTAATAATTTCAGTAAATTCAATTCTCAGAAGAAAATACAATTTTTTGACGATAGATTGCTGAGTTTACTAAGCTGTGTTAGCAGGTGTAAAATCAATCATTTACAAATTTCTTATTTCTTTTTTATAATGTCAAAAATTTCCTCTATATTTCTTAAATTTGAAGACTCAGGAACCTACCTGAGGTGAGCAGGTCTTTCTGTACTTGCTACTGGTGGCTGAAAAGTAAACAGATGGCATTTTATTTTACCAGGTAGCATTTGGGACTTAAATCTCTGAGGCTGCCAGCCTCAGGCTTCAGTGTATGCTAACGTGTGATTAATTACATTTCTTCTTCTGTATTTTCCCCTGTGAGTACAGCAATAACTTTAACAAAGACTGAGGCTTATTTCTTCACTATTGCTAACATGTTGACCTGATAGTAAGAGAACTGCAAATTGCTGTTATGTTGAGATTCACATTTACGCTGAATCTGCCCCCTCTGTCTGCAGTCAAAGCAGAAATCCAATAAAATACAAAAAGATTCGCTCCTTAGTAATTTCCTTCTCTTTTCTATTTTTCATTTTGTCTTTTATTTTTGAAACATTCTCCTTCACCACTTCATTTAGGAATATTACTATTCTTTGATGATACTGTTTTTTTTTTTTTTTGGTCAAGAAGATTAGCCCTAAGCTAACACCCGATGCCAAGCCTCCTCTTTTTTTTGCTGAGGAAGATTGGCCCTGGACTAACATCCGTGCCCATCTTCCTCTACTTTATATGGGTTGCCGCTACAGCATGGCTTGCCAGGGGGTGCGTCAGTGAGTGCCCGGGATCCGAACCTGCGAACCCTGGGCCGCTGAATTGGAGCACGCCCTTAACTGCTGTTCCACCAGGCCGGCCCCTGATGATACTATTTTTATTGAGACATAATTTTCTATACTATAAAATTTGCCCTTTCCATGAATGCACTTTAGTTTTTTGTACATTCACAAAGTTGTGCAGCCATTAAGACTACCTAATTCGAGGACATTTCTTGTCACCCCATTAAGTAACTCACACTCATTAGCAGGCACTTCCCCTTCTGGCCTCCCCCCTACTCCTGGCAGCCACTAATCTACTTTCTGACTGTACGTGATTGCCTGTACTGGATATCTCATATCTTCGCACTATACAATATGTGGGGTTTTTTGTAGTTGTTGGGCTTCTTTGAATTAGCGTAGTGATTTCAAGGTTCGTCTATGTTTTAGCGTTTTCAGAATTTCCTTTTTTATGGCTGAATAATACTTCATTTTATGGATATGGCACATTATCCATTCATCCGTTAATGGTCATTTAGGTTCTCTCTACTTTTTGGCTGTTATGAATAACGATGCTTAAACATTCATGTCAACGGAAACTATAAAAGTCACTTTCTTCAACAAGCATTGTCTTATTACCAACCCCCAAATACATGTCATCCATCCACACTTCATTGATTTTATGACTCTATCACATTCTCTACACTTAGTATACTCTATAGTGAATTATGTTTACTTTATTCATATAAAAATCTCTATTACATTTAAGGCTTTATAAATAAATGCAGTGTTTATCTTTTATATTCCCCAAAGTCACTAGAACAAGCATTTGCAAAGGTCATTGTTCCCTAAATATTGATTGATAAATATTTTAGGTTAGTGGAAGTGGAGGCTGGTGTACAAATAGAAACACACTAGCTGTGGGAATTTTTTCTAGTAATATAGTTCATATGTTGAAGGATGATTCATTTAAAAGTTTTTGCATGGATAATCATTTTCCCAAGAATAAATTTACTTTGCTACTATCCATACTAGTTCTTTAAGAAACTGATAATAGTTGTAAGTAAAATTTCATATCCTCCTCAAATACTCCCCATGAGATAACAATGGAATTCCCCATACTTCTTGAACCTTGAGTATACATCTTGGAATCTGGTGTCACTGGGCTACTTCCCAAGGTGTCAGAGCTAACCGTGCTCTCACAAAGGCAATAATGATTGAAATGCTTGTCACTCTTCCTTCTATATGGGTGCTGTTCTGCTATTGCCTCATTCAGTGGCTTAGTAAGTAGGTGCAAAACAAAGAATAAAAAGGTTGCACATATACTCATGTGTTTATGTAGAGTGTTGAAAAATATTAATAAAATAATCCAGAATAAGAAATATCAGAGTTCTAGAATGGGCTGATGATAGTTTGGGCAGTTTAAAGATGACTGCAGGCGGAGAGGAGTCAAGATGGCGGCGTAAGCAGACTCGGAACTCACCTCCTCCCGTGGACACAGCCAATTTACAACTACTCGTGGAAAAATTACCCCTGAGACAGAACTGAAAACTGGATGAGAGGAACTCCTGCAAC